TGGAAAAGAAATCATAATACGGGAAATCGAGAAAAAGAAAAATCTACAATTTAAAGAATCGAAATTGTAAAGTGGAAAAAAAATTTAATGGGACAACCGAGAAATCGTAAAATTAAAATATTAAAAAGTTGAAAATCGGGAAATCGAAATGTTAAAAAAGTCGAAAAATCGCAACACTAGGAAATCAAAAAAATGATAAATAGAGAAACTGAAAAATCTCATAACTGAAATGTCTGAAAAATGGAATCAAAAATTAAAAAAATCGAAAAACTGAAAAATTTTAAATATCGAAAAATTGAAAAATCGAGAAATTGAAACGTCGAAAAATTCCAAAACTGAGACATCGAAGAATTGAAAAATGGAGAAATCGAAACATTAAAAAATCGAAATTTTGAAAAAATGAAAAATCGAGAAACCGAAAAGTCGAAAATTGAAAAAATAGTTAAAAATCATAAACCTGAAAAATCGAAATTAATTTTTTTACGTTTTCGTTTCTTCAATTTTTCGGTTTTTGGGTTTTTCAATATTTGGAAAAATTGTAAAATTGTAAAAATATAAAATCAAAAATGATGAAACCAAGAAAGTATAACACGAGAAATTGAAAAAACTGGAATTCAAAAACTTGAAAAATTGAAGAAACGAAAAATTGAAAAATCGAGAGATGGAAATCGAAAAATTTAAAAAACGCGAAATCCAAACATTGAGATGTCGAAATAGTTACAAGATCGAAAAATGGGGAAATTCAAAATTGAAAAATTTAAACTTAAAAACCTGATAAATTGAAAATTTAAAAATCGACCAATCGAAACATCGAAATCTTTGTAAATTCAAAAATCTAAAACCGAGAAGTCGAAAAATTGAAAGATCGATTAATCGAAACATCAAAAAATCGAAAAATTCCGAAAACTGAAATTTTGAAAAATTGAGGAATCGACAATTTTAAAAATCGAGGAATTAAAACAACAAAAAATCTAAAAAAAAGAAAATCGAAAAACTGAAAAGTAAATCAAAATACGAGAAATCGAGAAAAAGAAAAATCTACAATTTAAAGAATCGAAATTGAAAAGTGGAAAAAAAATTTAATGGGACAACCGAGAAATCGGAAATTCGAAAAATCGTAAAATTAAAATATTAAAAAGTTGAAAATCGGGAAATCGAAAGTTAAAAAAGTCGAGAAATCGCAACACTAGGAAATCAAAAAAATGATAAATAGAGAAACTGAAAAATCCCAAAACTGAAATGTCTGAAAAATAGAATCAAAAATTTTAAAAATCGAAAAACTGGAAAATTTTAAATATTGAAGAATTGAAAAATGGAGAAATCAAAACATTAAAACATCGAAATTTTGAAAAAATTAAAAATCGAGAAATCGAAAAGTCGAAAATTGAAAAAATAATTAATAATCATAAACCTGAAAAATCGAAATTAATTTTTTGACATTTTCGTTTCTTCAATTTTTCGGTTTTTGGGTTTTTCAATATTTTAATTTTATATATTTTTTTAATGTGAAATTTTTCAATATTTGGATTTTTTAATGTCTCGATTTTTCTTCATTTTTCAGATTTTATAGTTTTTTCAGTTAAAATTTCTCGCGTTTTCAATTTTTAATTTTTCAGTTTTTCGATGTTTCAGTTTTTCATCGAAATATTGAAAGAAATCGGCAAATCGGATAGTTGAAAAATACAAAAATGTAAGATTTAAAAATTCGCAATATTTTGAAAAATCGAATAAGTAAATAATAAAAAAAATAGAAAGTCGAAAAATCTAAAAAATCAAAAATCGTAATACATATTGAAAAATACAAAACTTAAACATTGAAAAATTGAGAAATCGAGAAATCGGAAAGACGAAAAATCAAAAAGTCGAAGAATTAAAAAATCGATTAATCGACAAATTGAGAAATCGCAAAAAAAAATTAGAAATGCCAAAAATTGAAAAAATGAAAAATCGAAAAATTTAAATACATAAATCCTAAAACTGAAACGCTGAAAAATTGGAAAATCGAAAAGATGAATTATCGAAAAACTGAGAAATCGAGAAAACGAAATCAAAAAATTGAAAAATCGCGAAATCGAAACATCAAGAAGTCGAAATATCGAAACATTGAGAAATAAATAGAAGTGGCTAAAAATCGAAAAACGGGAAAATTCTAAATTGAAAATTTTGAACTTAAAGATACGGATAAACCGAAAAACTGAAAAATTAATTCCGAAAAATTGAAAAACCGGAAAATCTAAAAATGGGAAGAAAACGAAAAATCGGAATATCGAAAAACTGGAAAATTGGAAAATCTAAAAACGAGAAGGTAAAAAATCGAACGATTGAGAAATCGAAACAACAAAAAAGTAAAAAATCTAAAATTTAAAAATTCGAAAAATCGAAAATTTAAAAAATCGAGCGATCAAGAAACATCAACAAATCGAAAAATCAAAAAACTGAAAAATGTAAGATTTAAAAAGTCGCAATATTTTGAAAAATCGAATAAGTAAAAAATGAAAAAAACAAAGTCGAATAATCTAAAAATTAAAAAATCGAAATACATATTGAAAAATCCCAAGACTTAAACACTGAAAATTTGAGAAATCGGGAAGACGAAAAATCGAAAAGTCGATTAATCGAGAATTTGAGAAATCGAAAAATTCAAAATTTAGAAACGCCAAAAATTAAAAAATTGGAAAATCAAAAATCGAGAAGTAGAAAGATCAAAAAATTGAGAAATGGAAGTGGCTAAAAATCGAAAAATTGGAAAATACAAAACTTGAGAAGTCGAAAAATCGAAAAATACAAAATTTATAAAATCGAAAAATTAAAAAAATCGCAAAGGCTAGAAGTCAAAAAATTGAAAAACGGAAAAATCAAGAAATTCAAAATTTAAAAAATTGGAAAATTAAAGAATCGACAAACTGAAAACTCGATAAACTGTAAAATTCCAAAACTGAAATGATGAAAAATCGAAAAATTGGAAAATCAAAAAGTCGAAAATCCGAAAATTCGAAAAAATTATGAAGAAATCGATCAGTCGAAGAATGGAAATATCGGAATATCCATAAATCGAGAAAAAAATATATATAAATTCGACAAAATGAAAAACCTGAATTTCAAAAATCAGAACATCATCCAAAAATTGAAAAATTCGCAAAATTGAAATGTTGAAAAATCGGAACGTTTAAAAAATTTTTTAAATCCAAAAACCGAAATCTTAAGAAATTAAATTAAAAAATCGTAAAATTGAAAAATCGAAAAATCAATAAATTGGAAAATCAAAAATCTGAAAATTCTAAAAATATAAATATCGAAAATCGGAAAAACTGAAAAATCGGAAAGTACGCAAAATCGAAAAGTGTAAAATTTAAAACATTGAAAAATTAAAATATCGAAAAATCGAAGAATCGGGAAATCGAATCTTCAAAAAATCTAAAAATTGCTAAATCCAAAAGTCGAGAAGTTGAAAAATCGAAAAATCCAAAACATCGAAAGATTGAGAGAAGTCGAAAGATCGAAAAATTGAGAAATGGAAGTGACTAAAAATCGAAATATGGGAAAATTTAAAATTGAAAAATTTTAACGATAATCGAAAGAAAACCGTTAAATTGAAAACTGAAAACTCGGAATAACGAAAAACTGAAAAATTAATTCCGAAAAGTTGAAAAATCAAAAAATCTAAAAACAAGAAGGCAAAAAATCGAAAGATTGTGAAATCGAAACAACAAAAAAGTGAAAAATCTAAAATTCAAAACTTCGAAAAATAAAAAAAAATCGAGCAACAAATCGAAAAATCAAAAAACAAAGTTGAAAAATCCAAAAATTAAAAAATCGAAATACATATTGAAAAATCCCAAGACTTAAACATTGAAAATTTGAGAAATCGGAAAGACGAAAAATCGAAAAGTCGATTAATCGGGAAATTGAGAAATCGAAAAATACAAAAATTTAGAAACGCCAAAAATTGAAAAATTGGAAAATCAAAAAATCGAAGTCGAAAAATTGAAAAATCGCGAAATCGAAAATCAAAAGCTGAGAAGTCGAAAAATCGAAAAATCCAAAATTTATAAAATCGAAAAATTAAAGAATCCAAAAACTGAAAACTCGAGAAACTGTAAAATTCCAAAACTGAAATGACGAAAAATTGGAAAATCAAAAAGTTGAAAAGTCGACAATTCGAAAAATCGAAAAACCGAGAAACCGAAAAATCCAAAATTGAAAAATCAAATTATCAAGAAATCGAAGAATTGAAAAATGGAAACATCGGAATATCCATAAATCGAGAAAAAAAAATATAAAATCAACAAAATGAAAAAACTGAAATATGAAAATCAGAACATCATCCAAAAATTGAAAAATTCCCAAAATTGAAATGTTGAAAAATCGGAAAGTTGAAAATTTTTTTAAATCCAAAAACCGAAATTTTAAGAAATCGTAAAAGTGGAAAATCGAAAAATCAATAAACTGAAAAATCAAAAATTTGAAAATTCGAAAAATATAAATATCGAAGATCTGAAAAACTGGAAAATCGAAAAATACGAAAAATCGACGCATCGGGAAATCGAATCTTCAAAAAATCTAAAAATTGCTAAATCCAAAAGCCGAGAAGTTGAAAAATCGAAAAATGCCAAACATCAAAAGATCGAAAAGCCGAGAAATCTAAAAATTGAAAAACGGAGAAATCAAAAAATTAAAAATTTTAAAAAGATTGTGAAAGCGAGCAACAAATCGAAAAATCAAAAAACTAAAAAATCAAAAAATGTAAGATTTATAAAGTCGTAATATTTTGAAAAATCGAATAAGCAAAAAATCAAAAACACGAAAAGTCGAAAAATTGAAAAATTTAAAAGTCGAAGTATTTAAAAGTCCCAAAATTGAAATAGATAGAAGACAAATATAAGATCATTTTTATACATTTCATTTCCGAGTGTTTAGGGAATTGTGGCAACCCGCAGAGAGAAGGTGGAGGAGCTTAATACCCCTCACTGACAATACTTTTGCGTATTTTTTCATTCTAGAAAGAAGCTAGAAGTAAAGGTGGCTCTTGGACCATCGGAAAAGGTTTCGACACCGCTTGCCCAGTCAGTGCTTTCGTAACCAAAAGCAAAATCGAAAATCCCCACAACGTAAGACTTTGGTGCAAAGTCAACAACGAACTGAAACAAGACGGCAACACGAATGACATGATTTTTACAATACCGAAACTGATAAGCTTCATATCACAGTACATGACGTTAGAAGAAAATGATTTAATAGTCACCGGGTCACCCCCAGGAATGGGACCGGTGCAACCGGGTGACGTGATTGAAGGCGGAATTGAAAACCTCATCAGTTTCAAGTTCTGTGTATCACAGTAGCAAAAAAACACGACAACTCCATTCAAATTTAATTAATTTCTTGTACAAACGTGCTTGTGGTATTTGGAAAATAAAGTTTGTAACACATGTAAGAGATTACTGAACCCATTAAACTTCCAGCGACGACATCTAAAAAAATTGGATGGTTTAAGTAATTAGTGGTCAAAATTAAAATGTACCTTCGTAGTGGTGGTGATAATCGCACGTTCTGCTGATAGCGATAGCAGCTGCACTTAAAATTGGCACAAGACACAGACACAACTGCCACGACTCTCCCCTCCTATTGTCTTCAAAAAGACCGAATTTCTTCCTGAGGTATAAACTCACAAAGAACATACACGCAAAAGCCAAGGAAGCATGTCCACTAGGAAAACTTTTCCTGCCGTCCATACAGATTTCTCTTTTTCCTGTACACAAGGTATAATCATTACCTGAACCCTGTGGAAAGCATCGATAGTAGAAATCTGGTCTTGGTCTTCCTGTTAGGACTTTTATGTACGCTGTTATTAGTGCAGTTAAACAGTAGGATAACGATAGAGCTAGACATCCATATCCTACGTCTTTTTTGTTTTTATTCTGACAAAAGTCGTGGATAAAAAGTATCGATGGGACGATAATTAATAATGCCCATAGACACTTATTTGGGACGTAGCTACGTGTCACTTGAAACTGATATTTCCAGATCTCGTTTTCGTGGATGTTTCGAATGAAGGGATCAGATTGATCAAAGTAACTGAAAAAGTGTACCAATTGTTGCCCACGGTTGGTAGTGTTCTTACCTGAACAGCAACCAGATGATGAGTCGCACTGCAGTCTCTATAAATATATTGCACTGGGATTTGTATTCCATTTTCCATTTTGACGAGGAGTATTTATGTCAAAAAATCGCAATTTTTTCAAACTCGTGTTGACATCTTTCAAAAATTTCATAGGGTCTTTGGATCACCAGTTTCAACATAATTTTTAATACAAAAAATAAAATTTGATTTTGCGAATTCTATTTTTTTACGATAGCCCCAATACATCGAAATATGTATGTATTATCCATTCGAGATCTTTGTATAGTAAAGTAGGCTTTGATATTTTTTCTTTAAGTTGGATAAATTGATTTGATGATTTAGTTTTTTGTCTGTCAGTAGTCTGATTGACGTTTGCTTTTCATTTATTAGATCAGAGTTATTAGACGCAATTTTTTTAATCAAGCAAACAAATGTTTTAATTTTGTCAGCATAGATAATTTGTCATTGTGACAGATTTTTTTCGGAAAAATGTTTTGGAAACACTGTGTTCTATTTTGTATGAATTTTTAAATGTTTCTAGTGACAATTTTTGTATGATATTAACAGTGAGAAAAAAAAAAATGAAAAATAAAAATAATCGAAACCTTAAAAAATCGTAAAACCGAAACATTGAAAAATCTAAATATCGAAGAACTGAAAATCGAAAAATGAAACATCAGAAAATTGAAAAAATGTAAAATTCAAAAATCTAAAATTTAAAAACCGAATAACGAAAAATAGAAACTCCCAAATTTAAAAAATCGGATAACTGAAAAATCGAAACACCGAAAGAATGGAAAATCGAAAAATCAAACGATCAAGAAATCGTGGAGTCGAAAAGTCGAACAATTGAGAAACCGAAATAGGCCAAAATAAAAAACTGAAAAATTGATAAATCGAAAACCTGAACAATCAAATCTCGATAAATCAGGAATGAAAAATTAACAAATCGAAAAATTGAAAAACAGAACATCTAAAATTAGGAAGTCGAAAAATCGAAAGATTAAGAAATATTGAAAAATTAAAATATCAAAAGATTGAAAAATCTAAAATTTAAAAATCAAAAAATTGAAAATGCGAAAAAGTAATACTAATAAGGTAGACACATCGAAAAATCCAGAAGTCAAATATAGAAAAGCCGAAAAACTGAAGCACTGAAAAATCCTAAAACTGAAATATCTAAAAACTGAAAAATCGAAAAATCAAAAAAGTGAAGTCGAAAAATAGAAACCTTAAAAAATCGAAAAATTGAAAAATCAAAAACCCAAAAAATTAAAGAATTGAAGAACAGGAAAATCGAAACACTCGAAGGTCAAGAAATGGTAAAATCAAAACATCGATTAATTGATTGAACATTGATAAAATATAAAATTCAAAAATCTAAAATTTAAAAACCGAATAACGAAAAATAGAAACCCCCAAATTTAAAAAATCGGATAACTGAAAAAACGAAACACCGAAAGAATGGAAAATCAAAAAACCCAGAAATCGAAAAATCAAAAGATCAAGAGAAATCGTGGAGTCAAAGAGTCGAACAATTGAGAAACCGAAATAAGCCAAAATCGAAAAGTTAAAAATTGAACAATTTATAAATTGAGAAATTGATAATCAAAATATCGAAAAATCCAAATCTCGATAAATCGAGAAATCAAAAAACTTAAAAATTTGAAAAATTGAGAGATTGAAAGATCCAAAGAACGAGAAATAGAAAAGTGATGAAGTCGAAAAATCGAAAAATAGAGAAATCGACAAACAAAAAGTTAAAAGTTGAAAAATTGGAAAAGCGGAAAAATCAAAAAACGAAAAAATGGAAAACTGAGAAACCGAAATGGGCCAAAATAAAAAACTGAAAAACTGATAAATCGAAAACCTAAACAATCAAATCTCGAAAAAAATTGAAAAATCGAAAAAGTAAAAACGTAGACACATCGAAAAATCCAGAAGTCAAAAATAGAAAAGCCGAAAAACTTAAATACTGAAAAATCCTAAAACTGAAATATCTAAAAACTGAAAAATCGAAAAATCAAAAAAGTGAAGTCGAAAAATAGAAACCTTAAAAAATCGAAAAATTGAAAAATCAAAAAATTAAAGAATTGAAGAACAGGAAAATCGAAACATCGATTAATTGAAAAATCGAAAAATTGGGAGTTTATAAAAGTCAAATTTGAAAAATTAAAAAATCGAAAATTTGACAAAATGACAATAGAAAAACAGGAACATTAAAAAATCGAAATATCGAAGAACTGAAAATCGAAAAATGAAACATCAGAAAATTGATAAAATATAAAATTCAAAAATCTAAAATTTAAAAACCGAATAACGAAAAATAGAAACCCCCAAATTTAAAAAATCGGATAACTGAAAAATCGAAACACCGAAAGAATGGAAAATCGAAAAACCGAGAAATCAAAAAATCAAAAGATCAAGAAATCGTGGAGTCGAAAAGTCGAACAATTGAGAAACCGAAATAGGCCAAAGTCGAAAAATCGAAAAGTCAAAAATTGAACAATTTATAAATCGAAAAATCAAAAAACTTAAAAATTTGAAAAATTGAGAGATTGAAAGATCAAAAGAGCGAGAAATCGAAAAGTGATGAAGTCGAAAAATCGAAAAATAGAGAAATCGACAAACAAAAAGTTAAAAGTTAAAAATTGGAAAAGCGGAAAAATCAAAAAACGAAAAAATGGAAAACTGGAAAAACTGAGAAACCGAAATAGGTCAAAATAAAAAATTGAAAACTGATAAATCGAAAACCTGAACAATCAAATCTCGATAAATCGGGAATGAAAAATTAACAAATCGAAAAATTGAAAAACAAAACATCTAAAACCAGGAAGTCGAAAAATCGAAAGATTAAGAAATATTGAAAAATCTAAAATTTAAAAATCAAAAAATTGAAAAATCGAAAAAGTAATACTAATAAGGTAGACACATCGAAAAATCCAGAAGTTAAATATAGAAAAGCCGAAAAATTGAAATACTGAAAAATCCTAAAACTGAAATATCTAAAAACTGAAAAATCGAAAAATCAAAAAAGTGAAGTCGAAAAATAGAAACCTTAAAAAATCGATTAATTGAAAAATCGAAAAATTGGGAGTTTATAGAAGTCAAATTTGAAAAATTAAAAAATCGAAAATTTGACAAAATGACGATGAAAAACAGAAAATCTAAAACCGGGAAGTCGAACAATTGAAAAACCGAAATAGGCCAAAAGTTAAAAATTGAACAATTTATAAATTGAGAAATTGACAGTCAAAATATCGAAAAATCCAAATCTCGATAAATCGAGAAATCAAAAAACTTAAAAATTTGAAAAATTGAGAGATTGAAAGATCAAAAGAACGAGAAATCGAAAAGTGATGAAGTCGAAAAATCGAAAAATAGAGAAATCGACAAACAAAAAGTTGAAAGTTGAAAAATTGGAAAAACGGAAAAATTAAAAAACGAAAAAATGGAAAACTGGAAAAACTGAGAAACCGAAATAGGTCAAAATAAAAAATTGAAAACTGATAAATCGAAAACCTGAACAATCAAATCTCGATAAATCGGGAATGAAAAATTAACAAATCGAAAAATTGAAAAACAAAACATCTAAAACCAGGAAGTCGAAAAATCGAAAGATTAAGAAATATTGAAAAATCTAAAATTTAAAAATCAAAAAATTGAAAAATCGAAAAAGTAATACTAATAAGGTAGACACATCGAAAAATCCAGAAGTTAAATATAGAAAAGCCGAAAAATTGAAATACTGAAAAATCCTAAAACTGAAATATCTAAAAACTGAAAAATCGAAAAATTAAAAAAGTGAAGTCGAAAAATAGAAACCTTAAAAAATCGATTAATTGAAAAATCGAAAAATTGGGAGTTTATAGAAGTCAAATTTGAAAAATTAAAAAATCGAAAATTTGACAAAATGACGATGAAAAACAGAAAATCTAAAACCGGGAAGTCGAACAATTGAAAAACCGAAATAGGCCAAAAGTTAAAAATTGAACAATTTATAAATTGAGAAATTGACAGTCAAAATATCGAAAAATCCAAATCTCGATAAATCGAGAAATCAAAAAACTTAAAAATTTGAAAAATTGAGAGATTGAAAGATCAAAAGAACGAGAAATCGAAAAGTGATGAAGTCGAAAAATCGAAAAATAGAGAAATCGACAAACAAAAAGTTGAAAGTTGAAAAATTGGAAAAACGGAAAAATTAAAAAACGAAAAAATGGAAAACTGGAAAAACTGAGAAACCGAAATAGGTCAAAATAAAAAACTGAAAACTGATAAATCGAAAACCTGAACAATCAAATCTCGATAAATCGGGAATGAAAAATTAACAAATCGAAAAATTGAAAAACAGAACATCTAACCAGGAAGTCGAAAAATCGAAAGATAAAGAAATATTGAAAAATTAAAATATCGAAAGATTGAAAAATCCAAAATTTAAACATCCAAATATTGAAAAATCAGAAAAGTAAAAAGGTAAACACATCGAAAAATCCAGAAGTCAAAAATAGAAAAGCCCAAGAATTGAAATATAGAAAAATCCTAAAACTGAAATATCTAAAAACTGAATAATCGAAAAATCAAAAAAGTGAAGTCGAAAAATAGAAACCTTACAAAATCGAAAAATTGAAAAATCAAAAAATTAAAGAATTGAAGCACAGGAAAATCGAAACACTCGAAGGTCAAGAAATGGGAAAATCAAAACATGGATTAATTGAAAAATCGAAAAATTGAGAGTTTATAAAAGTCAAATTTGAAAAATTAAAAAATCGAAAATTTGACAAAATGATGATTGAAAAACAGAAAATCTAAAACCGGGAAGTCGAAAAACCGAAACATTAAAAAATCGAAATATCGAAGAACTGAAAATCGAAAAATGAAACATCAGAAAATTGATAAAATATAAAATTCAAAAATCTAAAATTTAAAAACCGAATAACGAAAAATAGAAACCCCCAAATTTAAAAAATCGGATAACTGAAAAATCGAAACACCGAAAGAATGGAAAATCGAAAAACCGAGAAATCGAAAAATCAAAAGATCAAGAAATCGTGGAGTCGAAAAATCGAACAATTGAGAAACCGAAATAGGCCAAAATCGAAAAGTTAAAAATTGAACAATTTATAAATTGAGAAATTGACAATCAAAATATCGAAAAATCCAAATCTCGATAAATCGAGAAATCAAAAAACTTAAAAATTTGAAAAATTGAGAGATTGAAAGACCAAAAGAACGAGAAATCAAAAAGTGATGAAGTCAAAAAATCGAAAAATAGAGAAATCGACAAACAAACAGTCAAAAGTTGAAAAATTGGAAAAACGGAAAAATCAAAAAACGAAAAAATGGAAAACTGGAAAAACTGAGAAACCGAAATAGATCAAAATAAAAAATTGAAAAACTGATAAATCGAAAACCTGAACAATCAAATCTCGATAAAAATTGAAAAAACGTAGACACATCGAAAAATCCAGAACTCAAAAATATGTAGAAAAGCCGAAGAATTGAAATATTGAAAAATCCTAAAACTGAAATATCTAAAAACTGAAAAATCAAAAACCTGAAAAATCAAGAAATTAAAGAATTGAAGAACAGGAAAATCGAAACACTCGAAGGTCAAGAAATGGGAATTGAAGAACAGGAAAATCGAAACACTCGAAGGTCAAGAAATGGGAAAATCAAAACATCGATTAATTGAAAAATCGAAAAATTGACATTTATAAATGTCAAATTTGAAAAATTGAAAAATCTAAAATTTGAAAAAACAACAATTGAAAAACAGAAAATCTAAAACCGGCAAGTCGAAAAATCGATTGATTAAGAAATCAAAATATTTGAAGAATTCGAAGACTTGAAAAATTAAAATATCGAAGAACTGAAATGAAAAATCAAGAAATCGAAAAATCAAAAATTTTAAATATTGAAAAATTAAAATACAAAAAAATTGAGAAATCTAAAATTTAAAAATCGAAAAAGTAAAAAGTCGACACATCGAAAAATCCAGAAGTCAAAAATGGAAAAGTCGAAGAACTAAAAATCGAAAAATGAAACATCAGAAAATTGATAAAATGTGAAATTCAAAAATCTAAAATTTAAAAACCGAATAACGAAAAATAGAAACTCCCAAATTTAAAAAATCGGATAACTGAAAAATCGAAACACCGAAAGAATGGAAAATCGAAAAATCAAACGATAAAGAAATCGTGGAGTCGAAAAGTCGAACAATTGAGAAACCGAAATAGGCCAAAATCGAAAAGTTAAAAATTGAACAATTTATAAATTGAGAAATTGACAATCAAAATATCGAAAAATCCAAATCTCGATAAATCGAGAAATCAAAAAACTTAAAAATTTGAAAAATTGAGAGATGAAAGATCAAAAGAACGAGAAATCGAAAAGTGATGAAGTCGAAAAATCGAAAAATAGAGAAATCGACAAACAAAAAATTAAAAGTTGAAAAATTGGAAAAACGGAAAAATCAAAAAACGAAAAAATGGAAAACTGGAAAAACTGAGAAACCGAAATAGATCAAAATAAAAACTTGAAAAACTGATAAATCCAAAACCTGAACAATCAAATCTCGATAAAAATTGAAAAATCGAAAAAGTAAAAACTTAGACACATCGAAAAATCCAGAAGTCAAAAATAGAAAAGCCAAAGAATTGAAATATTGAAATCTCCTAAAACTGAAAAATCGAAAAATCAAAAAAGTGAAGTCGAAAAATACAAACCTTAAAAAATCGAAAAACTGAAAAATCAAAAAATTAAAGAATTGAAGAACAGGAAAATCGAAACACTCGAAAGTCAAGAAATGGGAAAATCAAAACATCGATTAATTGAAAAATCTAAAATTTGAAACAACAACAATTGAAAAACAGAAAATCTAAAACCGGCAAGTCGAAAAATCGATTGATTAAGAAATCAAAATATTTGAAAATTTCGAAAACTTGAAAAATTGAAATATCGAAGAACTGAAATGAAAAATCAAGAAATCGAAAAATCAAAAATTTTAAATATTGAAAAATTAAAATACCAAAAAATTGAGAAATCTAAAATTTAAAAATCGAAAAAGTAAAAAGTCGACACATCGAAAAATCCAGAAGTCAAAAATGGAATATTCGAAGAATAGAAATATTGAAAAATCCCAAAACTGAAATATCGAAAAACTGAAAAATGAAAGAAAAACTGAAAAATCCCAAAACTGAGAATCTAAAGAATAGAAAAATTGAGAAATCGAAAAATCAAAAAGTAACGTCGAAATATCGAAACCTTAAAAAAATCGAAAAATTGAAAAATAAAAAACCTGCAAAATCGTAAGATCGAAAAATTGAATAAAAAGTAAACTGAAAAATCCCAAAACTGAAATGTCCAAAAACTGAGAAATTAAAAAATTGAAAAATTGAGAAATCGAAGAATCAAAAAAGTGAAGTTGGAAAATCAAAACCTGAAAAAATAGAAAAATTGGAAAACCAAAAAACCTGAAAAACCAATTAATTGAAAAATCGACAAATAAAGAGTTTATAAAAGTCAAAAATTGAAAAATCGAAATATTTAAAAATCGTAAAATTGAAGAGAAAAACTGAAAACCGAAAAATTGAAAAATTGTAAAATCCAAAAATTGAATAATAAATAGGAGTAAACTGAATAATTCCCAAACTAAAATTTCGAAAAACTGGGAATTCGAAAGTTGAAACGGCACGAGTTTTCAGACGACGAACTGTAATTCGTGTGACGTGTGACCTGAATTAAACTGAAGGAAATAGTAAGCAGCTTGTAATATTCTGGTAAATCTAATGTCAATTTGAATTTTTATTCTTCTACATCTAATACCAACAAACTCACTAGATTTTCATGGCCAACCTTACTATATAAAGATCGTGAACGGACTTTTTCGTACTCTAGGGGTATAATCTAAAGTAGAGTCAATCGCAAAACAGTTTCAAATAAATTTTCTGTACATCTTCTCAACAACTCATTTGATTTTTGGAAAATAAAGTTTATAACATAAATAAGAAACTCCAGCGACTATCAAACTTCCCGCTGCGACGTCTTAAAAATGTGTTTTCAAATTTATGTTGACATCTTTCAAAAATTCGCAATGACAAAACGCAGACAAGGAAAAAATATTTTATTTTCACGTTTAGCACCCACCTAATATATATTTAATTATCACAGATACCATGGTTTATGCAAGATTTATGAGTTTAACAACTATTACATATAAAAACAATAAAATTAAGACTTGTCATGTTTCTCCAAGTCACCGTTGTAGCTCTTTTCTGACTTCTCCGCGTCGTAAGACGTGCTGGGCTCACCCTCGCCCTTCACTTTATACTTATTAATCATGGCTTTGCCTGCCTCTTTCACGGACCGTTTCGCCAAATACTTGGGTTGTATGATTTTCGCGTTGTGACTGATGTGCATGACGTGACCCATGGTACTTATGGTATCACCAGCGAACTCTCCAGCTGGATGTCCATACTTGTGCTGGACAACTTTCACTGTGTTTTCCTTCAGACTCTGACCCAGGATCTGGGCAGAGTGTTCCAAGCCACAATACACAGTTGAAAACCCTTCTACAGCACCGGCTGCCACAGTCATAACTCCCTTCATCTTAGCACTAGCGTCCTCTTGCGACATCTTAAATCCAGAAGTGAGAAGTCGGGTACCTTGTTTCTGGATATGGGGGGCCAAAAAGTGCCCTAGTTTCACTGTAGCAACGCCAACTTGTTCAGCTGGAAACTAACTCGTTAAAAAAAAAAAAACCTCGTTTTTACTAAAGTACTCACCAACGTATCCGGTCACTTTGGCTGCTTTGTTGGTAGCAGTTTCCGCGATCTGCATGCCTTTGACTACTTTGTTTGGAATTTCGGTGGGCTGCTCGGCGCTACTCATCCGATTCATGAGTTTCGGGGTGTTTTGATTTATTAAGTTTCCTACTTTTTCTGCGCCGAATATCAGACCTCGAGATAGGTATGACGCTCCTATTGTGACAATGTAAATTTGTTTTTTTGAAAATGAGTTTCGTGTTACCTGTGACGATCCCGCTGGAAATTTTCTCGCTCAGTTCTTTGGGTGGTGCTGCTGCTGGTTTTCCTTCACCGACGATGCCATAAAGGACGCTTTCGAGGATGTCGTAAGCGTCGGCGTCTGCGTCGGGTGGAAGGATGATACCAATGGACGAACCTTAAAAGATTTGTTATTTATGTTTTGATTGTGATTAGCCATTTCAAATTAAGTTAATGTTTTCTAGGGGCTTGTAACCGCTATTTTCGTTTAATTACCTCTTTTCTTTTTTATTTTATTTTATTTAAAAAGCTGGAAAGTCTAAAATTTTTTAATCCAAAAGTTTAAAAATTGAAACATTGAAGAATCGAAATATTGAAAAATTTAGAAAGCGAAGACTTGAAAAGTCTAAAAATCGAAAAGTCGAACCGTGATGTCAAAAAATCGTAAAATTAAAATAATCAAAAATTTAAATTTTCCAAAGATTATATTGAAGAACTGAAAAATTGAAAAATCGAGAAGTCGAAAAGTCGAAAAACTGAGAATTTGAAAAACGTCAAAAATCAAAAAATCAATAAAAAATCGATTACTCGAAAAATTGAAAAATCGCGAAACTGAACAAATTGAAAAATCGGAATTTCGGTAATTTGAGCAATATAAAAATTGAAAAATTAAAAAACTCAAAAATCGAAAAATCAAAATGTCAATAATTTTAAAAATTGAAAACCGATAAGTCTAAAACTCGAGAGATCGAGAAATCGAAACATCAAAATTAAAACTGAAAAATCTAAAATTTAAAAATTCGAAAAATTAAAAAATCGAAGAACTGAATAATCAAAATATCGAGAAACCGAAAAACTTAATTTTTAAAATAGAAAAATTAAATGTCGAGAAATTGAAATCGGGAAATCGAAACATCAAAAATCGAAAAATTGAAAGATCTAAAATTAAAAAATCAAAACATAAAAATCGAAAATGAAAAAATCAAGAAATCGAAAAATGGAAGAAAATTTGAAGAATCGAAAAATTGAAAAATCGAAGAAATGAAAAATGTAAAAATCGAGAAAACGAAAAATTTTAAAAATTGAGATATTAAAAAATCCCAAAACTGACATCAAAAAATTGAAAAATGGAAGAAAAAGTGAAGACGGAAAATCTGAACGTCTAAAAACTGAAAAATCAAAAATTTAAAAATTGGAAAAATAGAAAAATTTGGAATTCTAAAAATTAAAAAATTGAAATGTCGAAAAATCGAGAAATCGAAACATCGAAAAAGCGGAAAATTGAAGAATCTAAAATTTTAAAATCGAAAAATCGGAGTCCAAAAAATAAATAATCGAAATTTTAAAAAACCCCAAAACTGAAATGTCGAAAAATTGAAAATTCGGAAGTCCGAGAAATCGAAAAATCAAAAACTAAAAGGCAACAATTGAAAAATTTAAATTAAAAATAAAATAGATCAAGTAACCGAAAAATTAAAAAATCGAAAAACTGCGAAATTGAACAATCAAAAAATCGAAAAATTAAAAAACCGAAAAATCTAACATCCTGAAGTCGAAAACTCGAAAGTCGAAACAAAAAAAAAAAACTGAAAAATCGAAGAACTGAATAATCTAAATATTCAGGAACTGAAAAACTTAAAATTTTAAACATAGAAAAATTAAATATCGAGAAATTGAAGAATCGGGAAATCGAAACATCAAAAAATCGAAAAATTGAAAGACAAAATTAAAAAATCAAAACATAAAAATCGAAAATGAAAAAAATCAAGAAATCGAAAAATCAAAAAATGGAAGAAAATTTGAAGAATCGAAAAATTGAAAAATCGGAAAAATGAAAAATGTAAAAATCAAGAAAACGAAAAATTTTAAAAATTGAAAAATTAAAAAATCCCAAAGCTGACATCAAAAAATTGAAAAATGGAAGAAAAAGTGAAGACGGAAAATCTAAACGTCGAAAAACTGAAAAATCAAAAATTTTAAAATTGGAAAAATAGAAAAATTTGGAATTCTAAAAATTAAAAAATTGAAATGTCGAAAAATCGAGAAATCGAAACATCGAAAAAGCGAAAAATTGAAAAATCTAAAATTTTAAAATCGAAAAATAGGAGTCCAAAAAATAATTGAAATTTTAAAAAATCCCAAACCTGAAATGTCGAAAAATTGAAAATTCGGAAGTCTGAGAAATCGAAAAATCAAAAACTAAGAGGCAACAATTGAAAAATTTAAATTAAAAATAAAATAGATCAAGTAACCGAAAAATTAAAAAAATCGAAAAATTGCGAAATTGAACAATCAAAAAATCGAAAAATTAAAAAACCGAAAAATCCAACATCCTGAAGTCGAAAACTCGAAAGTCGAAACAAAAAAAAAACTGAAAAATCGAAGAACTGAATAATCTAAATATTCAGGAACTGAAAAACTTTAAATTTTAAACATAGAAAAATTAAATATCGAGAAATTGAAGAATCGGGAAATCGAAACATCAAAAAATCGAAAAATTGAAAGATATAAAATTAAAAAATCAAAACATAAAAATCGAAAATGAAAAAAATCAAGAAATCGAAAAATCAAAAAATGGAAGAAAATTTGAAGAATCGAAAAATTGAAAAATCGAAGAAATGAAAAATGTAAAAATCAAGAAAACGAAAAATTTTAAAAATTGAAAAATTAAAAAATCCCAAAACTGACATCAAAAAATTGAAAAATGGAAGAAAAAGTGAAGAGTCGAAAAATTGAAAAACGAAAAATCTAAAACCGAGAAGTCGAAAAATCGAAACGTCGAAAAACTGAAAAATCAAAAATTTAAAAATTGAAAAAATTGAAAAATTTGGAATTCTAAAAATTAAAAAATTGAAATGTCGAAAAATCGAGAAATCGAAACATCGAAAAAGCGAAAAATTGAAGAATCTAAAATTTTAAAATCGAAAAATCGGAGTCCAAAAAATAAATAATCGAAATTTTAAAAAACCCCAAAACTGAAATGTCGAAAAATTGAAAATTCGTAAGTCTGAGAAACCGAAAAATCAAAAACTAAAAGGCAACAATTGAAAAGTTTAAATTAAAAATAAAATAGATCAAGTAACCGAAAAATTAAAAAATCGAAAAATTGCGAAATTGAACCATCAAAAAATCGAAAAATTAAAAAACCGAAAAATCTAACATCCTGAAGTCGAAAACTCGAAAGTCGAAACAAAAAAAAAACTGAAAAATCGAAGAACTCAATAATCTAAATATTCAGGAACTGAAAAACTTAAAATTTTAAACATAGAAAAATTAAATATCGAGAAATTGAAGAATCGGGAAATCGAAACATCAAAAAATCGAAATCTAATATTAAAAAATAAAAAAAATTGAAAAATTGAAAAAGAAAAAATCAAGAAATGGAAAAATGGAAGAAAAATTAGAGAATCGAGAAATTGACTAAATAGAAAAATGGAGAAAAAAATCTAAAAAATTAAAATATCGAAAAATTGAGAAAACTAAAGATTGAAAATCAACAAAACGAAACATTAAAAAATCGAAAAATTGATACATTAAAAAATCCCAAAACTTATGTATAAAAAAAAACAGAAAAATGGAAGAAAAATGCAAGAATTGAAAAATTGAAAAACCAAAAAATCTAAAACCGAAAAGTCGAAAAATCGGTTTCGGTTTGAAACACGGAAAAACTGAAAAACTAGAATTTAGAAATTGAAACAATTGAAAATCGAAAACCTGAAAAATCGAAAAATTTGGAATTTTAAAAATTGAAAAATTAAAATGTCGAAAAACTGACAAATCGAAAAATCGCAACACCAAAAAATTGATAAATTGGAGTCTAAAAATGAAAGAATCAAAATATTGAAAAATCCCAAAACTAAAATGTTGAAAAATTGAAAATTCGAAAGGAAAATCCAAAACTTCAAAAAAAGAAAAGTCTAAAAACCCAAAAATCGGGAGATCGAGGAATACAAACATAAAAAAAATGGAAAATCAAAATATCCAAAAATTAAAAAATTGAGAAAACGAAAACTTGAGAAAGCTAAAAATAGAAAAGTCGAAAAATCTTAAAACTCGAGTGACCGAAATGTCAAGAAATCGAAATATCGAAAAATCGTAAAATTAAAAAATCAGAAAATCCAAAAACTGAAAAATCAAAAATCGAAAAATCAAAATTGTAAAACAGAAATTCGAAGAGTCGAAGAACTGAGAATCTGAAATAGGTCAAAATCGAAAGGAAATTAAAAAAAATCGATTAATCGAAAAATTGAAAAATTGAAAAATTGAAAAATCGGGAAATTGAACAATCACAAAATCGAAAAATTGAAAAATCAAAATCAACAATTTTAAAAATTGGAAAATTGGAAAATCTAAAACCAATTAAGTCGAGAAATGGAAAAATCGAGAAATCGAAACATCAAAAAAACTGAAAGATCTAAAATTTAGAAATTCGAAAAATTGAAAAATCGAAGAACAGAAAAATCGAAATATCAAGAAACCGAAAAATTTCGAATTTTAAAAATGAAAAAATTAAATTACGAGAAATTGAAAAATCGAGAAATCGAATTCGAAAATCGAAAAACTGGTAAATCAAAATATTGAGGAACCGAAAAGCTTAAAATATTAAACAAACTCAAAACTAAATATCGAGAAATTGAAGAATCGGGAAATCGAAACATCAAAAAATCGAAAAGAAAAAATCAAAAAATCGAAAAATGGAAGAAAAATTGAAAAATCGAAGAAATGAAAAACGGAAGAATCGAGAGAACGAAAAATCTAAAAAATTGAAAAATTAAAATATCGAAAAATTGAGGAATCGACACATTGAAAAATCAAGAAAACAAAACACCAAAAAATCGAAACTTGAAAAATTGATACGTTTAAAAATGGAAAAATTGAAATATTAAAAAAGTCTAAAAACTGAAATACCAAAAACAGGAAAATGGATGAAAAATTGAAGTATCGAAAAATTGAAAACCAAAAAATCTAAAACCGAGAAGTCAAAAAATCGAAAGATCGATTTCGGTTTGAAACATCGAAAAGCTGAAAAATCTAGAATTTAAAAATTGAAAAATTAAAATGTCGAAAAACTGAAAGATTGAAAAATCTAAAATTTTAAAATCAAAAAATCGTAGTCTAAAAATTGAAGATTCAAAATATTGAAAAATCCCAAAACTAAAATGCTGAAAAATTGAAAAT